GGATAAATAGACACCAAACATGTCAAGCATTAAAATTGCATGTGCAAATAATACCATACCCAAAATTGGCCATAGGCGACACTTTAAAAGCTGTTACCGCTCATCAGTTTAGTGTTATCAGTGATTGATGGCCCTAGAATTATTGCTCCCACTCCGACGTTCGCGTTCATATGTAACATCTGCGGCACAATGGGCACAATTGTCGTTTTTGCATGTAGGTGTTTTTGCATGTAGGCCCCCTATGTGATAGCCAATTTGCAGTGACAGGTCCTCTTTATGGAGACTTCAGGGGTCTTTAAGACCCCTAATGTCACCTAGAGACCCCTAGAGAAGCTGATGAAGCAGAGACCTGCTTCACCAGCTTCTCTCCGGCTTCTGTACCGGAGAGTGACAGATGAATGCGGAAGTGATGTAATATACATCACTTGCTGCATTCCGACAACGAGGAGGAGATCATGTACTCATCTCCCTTTGATCTCCGGTCACAGAGCTCCTGTGATGGTCCCGGACTCACACCGGTCACAGCAGAGCCCGGGATCGCTAGCAGCGGCTGCGACGGAGAGGGGTGCTGCACACACGCACGCACGCATATTACAAGCGGTCGGGCGTCTCTACAGACGCCTGAACGCTTGTATGTAAACAGCCATCGCTGGCTGTTTACATTGCAAGCTGATTTCCCGCTTGTGGGTGCCTCCTAGCATCGGGCAAGAGTGGGGCAGGAAGGGACATTTAAAAGCGCCCACCCGCATCCAAGAAGCCGCTGTCCATCCGTTTAATTACAGCGGCTGGACAGCAGGTGGTTAATATGTGTGACACTTTTACAGTCAGTTTATCTCAGACATCCCAACCTGCAAAAACTAATTTCAGGGAGGTGGCTTCACCGGCTACTGCCCGCCCAAAGTATTGCAGCTATAGCAGCAAAAAAAAAAGAAAAGCTTTAGTGTGTTTAAATAGTTGGGGTGGGTTTCAGCAGCCGGTGAAGCTACCTCCCTGAAATGAGCTTTTGCAGGTTGGGATGTCTGAGATAAACTGACTGCAGATAAAAGCAAGTAGAAGGTGTGAATATACCCACTGGAATTAATTAAAAGCATCTACAGTATATGTCAATGTGTATATAAGCTTTTTAAAATAAAAGTAGGGTGACCATTCGTCACCGATTTCCAGGGAGAGTCCCAGGATTGAGGAGACCGTTCCTGGACAAATTATGTCCCCGGAAACATAAAATAATAATAATAAAAAAAGTTATACTCACCTGATATGGTTGCCACCTATCTGGGATTCACCCGCGGCGTGAGCAGGGCACCGCAGTCTCCAGTCCCTTGTCTCCTTCTCCCTCCGTCTGCGGTTTCTCCTCGGCGGCTGTGAATGGGTAGGAGGAACTGACATCAGGGAGAGAGAGAGAGAGCAGAGAGGGAGGAGAGGGAGAAGTCATCCCCCAGCATCCGTCAGGGAGCTCTTTCGTCTGGGACTGGATCTTAATTAACAGTTATTACATTTTTTAAAATATCAATTGAAAGGAGGGGTGGGGGGTGGGGTTAGAATAATATTTCTATATGCACCAAAACGTTCCCAATGGTGATAATAATATGCAAAACAATACTAAAAATAAATAAATAAAAGTTGCTCTAATCAGTAATATTTATGAAAACATCCGTGAACTCTTAAAGGAGAACTATGAGGGGAGTGCTTTTCACTCACCTCATAGTTCTAGCCGACCTGTGGCAATGAGACTGTCACAGGTCGGCTCAGTAGATCGGGAAGTGAGCGAACACATACCTGCGTTTGCTCACCTCTCGATCCTGTCACGGCTCGGAGAGGGGGCGGGTACAGCTGGCTCTGCCTCTAGATAGACAGAGCCAGCTGTCACGCACACAGCTGGGCGGATCCCGACATAATTGTCGGGATCCGCTTCAGCGTCTCAGTATACCGTGAGCTGCAGCTCGCGGTATACTGAGCTTAGGGTGACGGGAGGACGCTAGTTTGTGTCCTCCCGTTAGCCTAAGGAGAACTATGGGGAAAAGCCTAAACCCCATAGTTAGGGTTGCCACCTTTTCTTCAAGCGAAACCCGAACACTCTAACGACGCGCAGACATTTTTTGGGGAGAATAAGTTGTAGCTTATTCATATGTAAAAAGTGCCGCCCATTCATATGTAAAATTCAGGTTGGGATCCCTGCATAGTTCTCCTTTAAAGTGCATTAAATGTGACCATTATTATTCGCATCTCCTCGCATTTTAGTGTGAATGAGTGAATCAGTGAAAGCCGACTGTCCACATCAGAACATCTTTGCACATTTCCCATAATTATCCATGCTGGATTCAAACAACACAAATGTAAGTTTGGATTTGTTTTAAATAAAGTTGGTTGATGCACATTTCAAGGGGATGTTCTCTGTTCCTGTTATTTACAGTTGCCAAGCAACAGGAAGGAAGTCTGAGATCTGAGCACTGTGAATAATGAAAGCGAGGCTTGGATTCCAGGAAGGAGCACACAGAGTGACATCGTGTGGAAATACAGCCCCATGTCTGAGAGCAGTGAGAGATCACACTGTGTGCACTGTCTGTGACGTGTGGGTATCATTATTGACTCTGGACGCCGGCCTGTGTACTGATCCTCTGGTGGTAAGTGCATTCTGTGTAATATATTATCCATGTGAGTTCTTTCATGTACAGTGATCAGTAAAGCTGTGTTCATCATCCCACTATGTTTATATGCTGTTAACATTAACTCTGGGGAAAATGTTTCTTAACCTTTGCAGTGGGGCTACCCCTATACTTCAAGGGTTAACTGCTCATTTTGGTCTAGGTGCAAAAACAACAAAATTATACTCAACTGAACATCAGAGCTGGCTGGCTGTTAGAGTGCTTACTCCAGCCTGACTCCTCTTCTGCTCTAGTGATGATATGTCCCTTAGTGTCCTCACATCCTATACATGTATAGAACGTGATGACTCACAGGACCTGAGACTGCAGGCGCGGAGGGGACGCAAGGCTGGAAGGACCGGTCTAAGAGCCAGCCAGCTTAGAGGATCGGGTGGGTATATAACTTTTTTTTTGTACCTAGATGAAAACAAACACTTAAACCTTACATTGTGGGGATAGCCCCACTCCGAGGGTTAAAAAAAGTCTTCTTTAAAACATGGCTGTAGCAGGGTCCTGTGCTCCACTGGGAACTGTGCGAAGGATGTTAGGCTAGCACTGTCCTCCCACCCCTAAGGCCCCATTCACACTGCGCGATTCGCAAATCGCGTGTTTGTCGCGTGATTTGCATTTTGCGCGATATCGCGCAAATGCTTGCATTGAGCAAGCTAGAATAGTGGCAAAATCCGCTCCAAAACGGGTCCTGCTGTAGCGACGCACGACCCGCGACAGCAGGACCCATTGCCCCATTGCCCCATTGCCAAGCATTGGAGAGCGATATCGCGCGGTAAATAGCCGCGATATCACGGGAATTACCGCGCGATAAATCGCTCAGTGTGAACGGGGCCTAAGTCTTCAGATTCCAGCATGTTGTGTTTAATGAGAAGAAAAACGTGACCCTGAAATGTATCCTAAAATATTGGGACGCTTGATGTCGGGGATTCTAATGGTGTTTATACCATTTTTACATTTGTGTGCATGCAAAACGTAAGGCCGGGGTGGATAAATGAATGTGGTAATCAGGAGCCAGTCTGTGCAATCCAGGAGACCGCAGGATTTATATTAGTAGCAAGCTCCACTGACCGCAACTAGAAAACCTCAAAGGTTAGCTGCCAGCTGTCATTTTTAACCACTTGAAGACCAGGTGTTTAGACCCCCTTCCTGGCCAGGCCATTTCTCAGTATTCGGCGCTGCAGTACTTTGACTGACATTTATTCCGTCATGCAGCGCTGTACTGAAATTAATTTTATACCATTTTTTTGGGGACAGATAGGGCTTTCTTTTGGTGGTATTTAATCACCACTGGGGGGTTTATTTTTTACTATATTCAGGACAAATTATTGAAAATTTTGAAAAAAATAGTTTTTTTTTTTTTTACCTTATGTTATAAAACAACTAATATTACCCACTTTTTTGGTAAAATATAAAAGTCGGGGTTACGTCGGGTAAATAGAGGGGGAGGGGATGAGCCGCGGAGGGGGCGCACGTCATGCCCTGGCTCACTTGTATATTAACGGGCATCGATGCCTGTTTTCCAATAGCGGCGATTTCGCCCAGTTACATCCAAGAAGCTCCCGGCCGGCCATGTATACACAGCGGCTGGCCGGGAGGTAGTCAAGGAGCATTGGCTGCCCGGCTCCTAGGATTTGTCCAGTTCTGGCTTAACCACTTGAGGGCCGCGGTGTTTAGACCCCCTTCTTGTCCAGGCCATTTTTCAGTATTCAGCGCTGCGGTACTCTGACTGACGTTTATTCCGTCATGCAACCCTGTACTGAAACTAATTTTATACCATTTTTTGGGGGACAGATAGAGCTTTCTTTTAGTGGTATTTAATCACCACTGGTTTTATTTTTTACTATATTAAGGAAAAATTATTGAAAATGTGGGGGAAAAAAAATTGTTTTTTTTCATTATATTAGGAAACAATGATTATTACCCATATTTTTGGTAAAATATAAAAGACGGGGTCACGTCGTGTAAATAGACACCAAACACCTCATGGTTTAAAATTGCGCGACCCGCGAAATCGCAAAGCATTACATACATTTTGAGAAAATTTCTGCCGGCTGACATCATTTTTATATGTGACATTATTTAACTTGAATAATGTTATGTGCTGAAGGCATTTGAATAGTGATAACAAGATCCCATCATTTCTATATTGCTGTAGGAAATGTTATTATGGTCATTCTATAAAACTTGAATAAAGGGAATGGGGAATTGTTGCTTTTAGTGGCACTTGCTTTCATTGATTTGTACCTTGTTTATAATTATGCAATTATTTATGATTCTGTGCTTTTTGTTATTTGTAGGCATCCAACATAAGTTGTTTGGACTATTTAAAAGTGCCTTGGGTTAGAAATGGCGGAAGATGCAGTACTGAGCATTGAATCCCCTGTATGCAGTACAGTTCTCCAAATGACAGTCGGTCATCGTGACTCTTCTTGTGACATTGCTAGTGGTGACTCCTGCTTGCTTGTAAATAACCAGGATTTAAGTTGCCAGGAGCTGCCATTAGAACAGCCAAGCAATGCTCTTTATAATGTAGACCTGGAGGAAGTATTCAGAGATTCATGTAATACAGATGAAACAAAAGGGTACTTATCGGATGAAGAAGCAGCCATTCAGGGACTGTCTGCCCTTCCTGTGGAAAGCAATATATCCAAAAGAGCCCTTTGTACAAGATGCAGGTAAGATCTCCTACCCCGTCTTCTTTTCAGCTCGTGATCTCTATTCATGCTATTGATCTAGAGGGGAGTAAGACTGTAGAAATTAAAGCGAACCTGTCTCCTTAACATAAAGTACAAACTAACATAAATGGGTAACAGAAGGCACAGCACTCATGGTGTGCAGGGGAGAATTCTAATACAGTATTGCTCTGCTTTGACACCTTCTGTCTGCTAGTTTGCAATGTATGTTATAAAAGGAAGGCCCGAAGCGAGAAAAAAATAAATAAGTGCAGGGCATACATGACAAGGTGTATAGGGGAGACAAGCTAAAAGGGGTTAACGAGGGTTCGGTCTTGGGGACATGGTCACTTACCTGATTGGACAGGTCGAAAGTTGAGGTGGGGCTTGAACGGTGGTCTGAGGAGGAGGGTCTTCTCGGCAGCAGTTGGAGATTGTCTGAGGTAGAGTGAACTTCCCTCCCGCCCGCCCAAGGATTTTTGGCTAGTCTGGGTAGTTATGCGGTTGGGGTCTTTGGAGGCCATCAAATAATAGGTGCTGGTGGTGAAGGTTTGGGGACATGTCAGTACATTGGTGCAGGGGGATAGAAATATCCGGTTATTCAGCGGCTCCTTAGGGGGTGAGCGCTACACATGACAAGGTGTATAGGGGAGACAAGCTAAAAGGGTTAACGAGGGTCCGGTCTTGGGGACAAGGTGAGGTGGGGCTTGAACGGTGGTCTGAGGAGGAGGGTCTTCTCGGCAGCAGTTGGAGATTGTCTGAGGTAGAGTGAACTTCCCTCCCGCCCGCCCAAGGATTTTTGGCTAGTCTGGGTAGTTATGCGGTTGGGGTCTTTGGAGGCCATCAAATAATAGGTGCTGGTGGTGAAGGTTTGGGGACCTGTCCTGGTATGGTCCCTCTATCCATCTATTGATATTTGGAGTGTATGCGGTCAGTTGGTGGTTGTCCCCGAGGCGGTGTGTTGCGGCTGGGGGGCCTAACAGGTTGTAGTACTGCCGCAAGTAACGGATCAAATGTGAGGCCTTCAAAGACCTGCAACTTTGTTCAGGTAATTCTGATAATTGTTTATATAGGATGTTTTATATATCAAAGTTGTTAATAAACGGCTGCTAAGGCCATTTTATAACAATCTGGAGTGTGGTCTAGTTATTACTTACAAGGACGGGTGGTGGGTGGTCTTGGGGGCTTGTAGTGAAAAAGAATGGGGACATCTATGCTACCTCAGTCATGACAGGTTCACGTTAGGCACTGTTCATGGCATAGACAAAATGTATGAAAAGGTAGGACACCGAATCTGCACAAATGTATTAAGGATTTCATATGGGGAATGGGGAGCAGGAGAGAGACTTGCCTTGTCTTGCTGTGTCTGTGTGTTTGTGGAGACACACACAGCTTACTAGCACACACAAGGGGTGGCTCTATAGGAACCTGTAAGTGGAAGGAGCCACCCTAATACAGGATACAGGGGCCAGTGCTCAGGGGACCAGCTGATTCTCCATGCAGATAAAACTTTTAGGATGGTTTCACACCTGGGCGTTTTTCAGCGCTGATCGATTGCTGAAAAACGCTCAGCAAGTGAAATCCCATACTTTCCTATGGGCATGGTTCCCACCTGGGCGTATTTCAGCGCATAGAAACACGCTGAAAAACAGCCTGCGCCCAAACAAGTGCAGGAGCTTCTTTTGGGGCATATTTCAGCGCATATCCATTGGTATTCCCGAGTGTGGCTCGGGGTTAACAAAGCGGTAGGTCTTACCTTGTCCGTGATCCCTGCTGTGTCCTCCGGCCGCTGCTGTCTTCCGGGTTCCGTCCCTTGCGATCGTCCGCGTCGCAGGGGGTCGGAACCGGCGGGAAGTTTGAAAGTTAAAAAAGATAGAGATAAAAAGGAAAAAAAATCATACCGCCAGGGAGGTATAACATCGAGCGTCGAATGGCGTTTCACTGAACTAAACGTGCTAAAAACAACGTGAAAAAACGCGCCTATAGTAACGCCCAGGTGTGAACCCAGCCTAAAACATCAAAAAGCAGCATCCATTGTAAGTTATTTAATCAGGATTTGAAATAACTTAACCGTTTGTCTTTAATATCAATTTAACATTATTTACACAATTAGTTGTGTAGCATTGTTAACAATTTTTTTTTAGCGAAAACTAAAGTTTGTTCAGAAGTTTGCCGTATGCTATAGATGGTATTCTGACATATAATTTGATGCCTTTTCATGCATCTCTGTGTTCTCAGCTGACCCCAGTGTCATGGTTCTTTTTAGGGCTTGTTCACACCAAGTGCGGAGCAGATGCAGAGCAGCTACAGAACGCATCATGAATGCATCCAGTGTATACTAATGGTATACCAATGGTATTGTGGGCTCTAGTTCACACTAGTGTTCAGTTCCAGTACATGTGGAAAAACTGCAGAATGCCTTTTTTTGTTTTGTTCCTGCTCTGGAACGCATGCAAACGCTCTGCAACGCACTGAAAGCCAATTTTAGGCTAAAAAAAAGGCCAGGAACAAGGTACAAACGTGCCGAAGCGCACTGCAATGCATATCATTGCATCTCATGTAGATCTGGTTCGGATTTGGTGTGAACAAGCCCTAAATAGAACCATGACACCGGGGTCAGCTGAGAGCACAGAGATGCATGTTATTTCTATGCAGAAAAAGCGTCAAATTATCGGGGCTTTACTTTCGCTAACAAAATTGTTATAACAATGCTACACAACTAATTGTGTAAATAAATAACTGTTGGCCAGGAAAATCTAGAAAGCAACAGAGATGTCTACTTCAGTGTGAAGGTGTCTGTAGACATTGCAGTTCTCGCCCAGATTGCTACAGTGCACATGGTTGACAATGTTCATCTGATTTCTGTGAGAACCCCGAGGGTTCATTCCCACCAAAATAGGACCAAACCCCCAATTTTGGCGGTAACATCACTCCTACTATTAAAAGAGATGTGTTTAAATGCATTTACATGCTTCTAAATGTGTTGTGGGGCAAAAATGCAGCCTGTTCTATTTTTCTCAAACTTCAGCTCCGTCCACAGGTTTGAAGTACACCATTGAAAACCCTCTATTTTTTGTGTATATGCGTTTTTAATGGGCTAAAAAAATGCATTGGATGGGTGTGGGCCCTTCATGTAAGGGATATGTAAGCTGCTTTCCACAACCAATTTTTTTTTAATGTTAGCTGCCCACAGCTCCCATACATGTATTCCAGCTTCAAGTCTTGGTGAGGCACTGACTTGGGACAAGTCATGCAGCTAATGAAGTTGGAACCTCTGTGCTGCACACTTATTCCAGAGTATTATTTCAATGATTTACCCAGTAGTAAATCTGCAGGATGATCATGACAATCCACCAACCAATATCTTTAAAATAGGGTCAGGAATGTCTGCAGAGTTATGGGTCCCATCACAGGCAACTTTGACCTGTGTAGTAATGACTTCTTTTGTATAATCTTATGAATATATACTTTTCATTTTCAACCCTAGATTGCAAGGCATAAATGTGTTTATCAGGATATTCATGTATTTATCAAGCTGCTCCTAGCACAGCAGAGGTTGTCTGAGGTCGATATGGCAGTTCATTTTCCTTTTCACACTCAGGACTGAGATATAATTAACTTTGAAATGACCTGGTGCCAGATATATGTGTATATATTAGAGCCTTGCCCTCCTGACACTATTGATTTTAGTGGTGGATGTCAGAAGTGATTATAATATCTACTGCTTATGGTAGCAATTGAGGAACATAATCTGGTTTTAAACGACACATACAATACACTGGAAGCCAGAAGATTATTGTGTGTATGGAGAGAAGTAATCTGTGTCATGATTATCTGAGCATGTCCATTATGTGAGATATTAGGATATCAATTCAGATATTTATTTTTGGTTTAAAGTACACTATCTACATTTTGTGTGTTGGGTATTTTGTTTTATCTGCAGAATAGGTGCTTGGTGAATAATAAAACAATGCTTTTGTGTTCAGAACACACTTAAAAAATCAACTGGTCAGCTTTGCAGAGATGGCTACCAGTTCTCTCAAGTGGCAATTTGTCAGATGGGCTGGAGGTGTAGTGTCTGGTATACGAGTGGCCGACAGAGAAGGCAACAAGCGTTTTTTTTCTTATGAGTTAAAAAATTCAAATTGTTTTCTGAGTGCCATCTTTGTTCATGAGTAGGGCTGCAACCAGCTAATCGATTTGTATGAGAATAGTTGCCAACTTTTCTCATTATCGATTAGTTGGTTGGATACACTGGAGTTGTTGGTTGGAGGGCACAGCAAGCAGTGGGCGGGTGCAATAGCCAGCCTGCTATTGGTTATTGTAATTGGAAATGGCCAATAGCAGACTGGCTATTGCACCCACACACTGCATTCTGTATTTACATTCAGCTGCCATCTGTGTAATCTTGCCACTGGCTGCTGTCATTCCTCGGCTGCAGCTATTCAAGCGCCATGTGCTTACAATACAATTATTACAAAATATAAAAGGTGGGAAAAAGTCAGTTTTGGTTTTGGCCTGACAAATTCTGCTCCTGGAGGTGCGTTGCAGTGCCATTCATTTCAATGGCACCCCAAACGCTCCTCCCACCCACAGTGTGATCGCCCGCACTGAAACACACAGTACCGCAATGCCGTGCTTTCCACTGCAGTGTGATTGCAAAAAATTGTGCGTGCAGTTTTATCCTGAAGTTAACTTTGTAACACTACCTTTGTGTATTTTATTTTAAATTAAGGATGGGATTTATTTAATTTTTTTGAATCCAATCAATCGAGGGGAAAAAAAAAAATCACCCAACTGATCGATTTATAAAAACCATTATTTGCAGCCCTTTTCATAAGTACCATGGCAGGCACGACCTGCTGTTGTTTTTGTCTTTTTTTCTTCCAGCAGTTTGGCAAATGGATCTGAAGATGTTAAATGCTTTATTTCTTTTTTTTTCATAGTAAAAATTAAAGTGTGTCTATACCCAAAACTTTGCTAGAGTTTGGAAAGGTCAGAAA